TTCCCAGTTCTGCTTTTTAATTAGCTTTTTGGGGGGACTAATTTTAGATTTGAAGAAAAGTTGCAGACAGTACAGAGAGTTCCCATATGCCCTTCCTCGAGTTTATCTTAATGTTGACACAGCCACAATGCATTTGTCAAAACTAAGCAATTAGTTTTGGTCCAATACTAGTAACCAAACGGTAGACTTTATTCAGATTGCATCAGATTTCCACTCCTGCCCTTTTCCTAGGATACCACCTTGCTGTTAGCAGCTCTGCTTCTTATTAGCTGAGATACTCCTGATGTGCTCATCCAAGCCTCGGTTTTCTCCTTATCCAGTGGGGCCAATGCTGGGGACAACCTCCACCCCACAGGGCAGGGTGAGGATCACAGGAGGTAGGAGAGGTGAGAGCATTAGTGAGTGGGAGAGCTTCATGTGGACGTGCAGGATAAGCTGTGAAGCCTGCAGTGTCTCTCTTCTCACCCACTGGCCCCTGTGACCTGCACCGGGTCTCATGCCTCCTGTTGACCCAGCTGCCCAGGGCCACTGGAATGAGGCTGTCCCATCAGGCCTGCCCTGGCCAGCAGACTCCTTATGCTCCAGGCTCTGCAGGTTGATTATCCGGGTCAGGGGGCACTGGATCTGACTGACCGAGGGCTTTGGCCTGTGGCTGGGCCCCCTCCCAGTGCTTCCTGTGTATTTGAGAGGCTCCTCCATGGGCTGCTGGTGGCCTCCAGCTTTGGGGTGGAGAGAGGCTGCAGGTTATAGGCTCAATTCTCTTCCTGGGCATTTGAAGTGACCACTTGAAATGCCAGTAGGCCACACAGGGAGGAGCAAACCATGAATTGGCTTTGCTGTTTTGCAAGTCTCCATAGGTTGAATTAGGAGAGGGGTGGTGGGCTGAGGGTGCAGGGCTGAAGTTCTGAGTGTATTTTGGAAGATGGCAGGAGACTAGCCCAGCGTGCCCACTCCACTCCTGCCTCCCTCTGGGGCTTCTCACAAGGATTTCTTGTCTGCCCGCAGCCACTCTCTCCCAGGCTGCTTCCTGGTTAGTGCTTGTAGTGGGTTTGAATTGTGGCCCCCAAAAGGTGTGTCCAAGTCCTAAGTCTGCTACCTGTGAATATGACATTATTCAGAAATATGAGGTACTTCAAAAAGTTCGTGGAAAAATAGAATTAAAGGATAATGTGAATCTTTCCATGAATCTTGGGATAGACCCTGCGTACGGTTGTTGCAAAAGTAATTAAGTTAAGCATCTTGTGATGAGATCATCCCGGATTTGGGGTGGACTCTAAATCCAATGACAAGTAAATACAAGGACAGAAGATTTACATCCATAAAAGGGGGGGGGGTGGAGGTTTGAGAACAGCCTCTCTGGTGTTTTCTCTTATAAGGGCACTGATCCCATCATGAGGGCTCTTCCCTCACGACCTCATCTAAACTAATTATGTCCCAAAGGCCACATCTCTAAATATCACCACATTGGGGGTTAGGGCTTCAATACAGGAATTTGGGGTGGGGTGCGGGGACACAATCTAGTCCATAGATGGCCTCTGGAACCATGAGAGAGTAAATTTCTGTTGTTTTAAAACACCCATTTTGTGGTAGTCTGTTACAGCAGCTCTTGTAAACTCACACGGTGCTCCTTCTCACTTCCCGGGAGACTCTCCTCCTCGCTGAGACCACCAGTGCAAGAGAAGACTCAGGGATTGGAGCTCTGAATCACTCCTGCCTCCAGTTCCAGTCTGTAAACCCACTCCCTCACAACTTATCCATCTTGTGTTCCAGTCCCTCAGGATGCTCCTTGTTTCCCAAGAAGTCATCCTGCCATCTGGACAAACTCATCAATAAAGCCACATAGGGCCAGCCAGGCCCAGGCCCTCAACAAACACCTCTGCGAGGGGGATCCCAGCACCCCCTCCCTCCCTCCCATTTCATCGGCAGCCTTCTGGAGACCAGGCCTTAACTAATGGAAGAGATTTTTAACCTGGCAATAGATGGATGGGACAGACACTAGGGCTGAGGCAGCTATACACAGTGACATTGCTGTATCCACTCAGGGCCAGCCCTGCTGCCTTCCAGGATCCGGGTGAGCAGGGAACATGTTGGAGAGCTGCACTTTTTGGGAAGAAGTGGGTTATTTGACACAAAGGAAACAGCATGAGAGCAGGAGTTAGGAGATCTGGTGTGTCACTAACTAGCTCTGTGACCTGAGGGAAGTCATTTCTCTCAGTTTTCTTATCCATAAAATTAGGGGAATAGACCCCAAGTGATTTTTCAGTCTCTTCTCTAAATCTATCGTCAGGCCTGGGGGGCTATGATGGATTAGGCAAGCAGCAGATTCAGGTGCAAAGCCTTTAGCCTACTCTTTTTTATTTTTTTTTTTATTTTTATTTTTTTTTTGTCTTTTGTCTTTTTTCCGTGTCCGGCAACGGATCGCAACCCTCAGTGTTGCCCCCGTACCGGACCGGGGACCGGCAACGCGATCGCAAGCCTCGGCGCTGCTCCCGCGCCTCGCTCAGCCCGTGAGCGGGAGCCGGTCTGTATGTGGGATCCGAACCCTCGGACGGGAGCACCGCCGTGCTTCCCAGGCGGCGCACTATCCAGTGCGCCACCGGGCCGGCCCTTTTTTATTTTTTTTTTGTCTTTTGTCTTTTTTCCGTGTCCGGCAACGGATCGCAACCCTCAGTGTTGCCCCCGTACCGGACCGGGGACCGGCAACGCGATCGCAAGCCTCGGCGCTGCTCCCGCGCCTCGCTCAGCCCGTGAGCGGGAGCCGGTCTGTATGTGGGATCCGAACCCTCGGACGGGAGCACCGCCGTGCTTCCCAAGCGGCGCACTATCCAGTGCGCCCCCCGGCCGGCCCTTTTTTATTTTTTTTAAGAATTGTGTTAAAATATACAGAACACAAACTTTATCATTTTAACCATTTTTAAGTGTACGGCTCGGGGGCATTAAGCACATTCACAGTGTTGTGCACCCATCACCATCATCCATCTCCAGAACTTTTCATCCTCCCAAGGTGACTCTGTGCCCATGAAACACTAACTTCTCATTCCCCGCTTCCCCTAGCTCTGTAACCTCGATTCTACTTCTGTCTCTATGAATTTGTTTATTCCAGGTGCCTCATATAAGTGGAATCATACAATAGCTGTCCTTTTGCTTATTTCACATGTTTATGCATATGACATAATATTTTCAAGGTTCATCTATGTTGTAGCATGGATCAGGGTTTCATTTTTTAAGGCTGAATGATATTCCATTTTATGTTATACCATATTTTGTCTATCTGTTCATTCATTGATGAACACTTGGGTTATGTCCATCTTTTGGCTACTGTGAATAATGCTGCTGTGAACATTGGTTTATAAGTATCTGTTTGAGTCCCTGCTTTTCATTCTTTGGGGATATACCTAGGAGTGGAATTATTGGATCATATGGTAATTTTATGTTTAACTTTTTGAGGCACTGTCAAACTGTCTTCTGTTTAGTTAACTCTTAAATGAAGGCCCTCAGCCCCGTCACATGTGTGTGATGGGGAGTGCCGTGGGAAAGTAGATTGAAGCCACCCGGGCTCAGACAGGCCACCTAGCTGTGCAATTCACTGCTCTCCCCTGGAGTTGATGTTGGCCAGATGTGTTCTGGTGATTTAAAAGCCACTAGTGAATCCAGAGCTGCACAATTTCTAGTTCTGGGATAAACTACATTGTGGCTTGAAGGTTGGTATGCAGAAAAGAAATTATTTTCTCTCCTACTCACTTCTTCAGAATTTTAGAAATAGTGATAATATGTGCATACATTTCTGGTTTCATTTATAGGAGTAGAAGCACAATCATGATTGGGGTAAAGACTGGGAAAATAAGGCAGGAAGTTTAATTGGGAAGACGGAAAGATGGTTGACACTAAGACCGAAGCTCTTGATGACACTGACCAGAGTTACAGAATGTCCTAGATCGAGCCTGCAAGCCAGGGAGGCCCAGGAGTGAGAGTGAGCAGAGGAAATGACCCAGCCTGGAGTTGCTTTGGAATCTAAAGATCTGGGTTCACATCTCAGTTCTTCTCCTTCTAGTTTGGGCAATGAACTTAACCTCCCTGAAATCAGTTTTCTCATTTTTATTTATTTTTATTTTTTATTTTATTTTTTTAAAAAGATGACCGGTAAAGGGATCTTCACCCTTGACTTGGTGTTGTCAGCACCACGCTCTCCCAGGTGAGCCATGGTCCGGCCCCCAGTTTTCTCATTTTTAAAATAGGGACACGTTATGAATGTTATGAGGATAAAATAAAACCATATAGGCAAGACGATTCCCCCAGTGCCTGGCCCTCACATTCAATATGAGGGTACTTCAAAAAGCTCGTGAAAAAACACAATTAAAAGACAATATGAATATTTCCAAGAACTTTTTGAAGTACCCTCGTACATGTTAGGACCTGTTTTCCTCTAAACACTGAGAATCAAACCCAGGTGACGTGTTAGACTGGGAAACCTTCCCTCATCTTAAAACATGAACTTTCGTTGCAGTGTACATTTTGGTGGCCATTCTGGAAGTTACCTTGTTTCCTATTTACTGCTTCCTCTCTCTCCAAATTAAATGCTTTTTCTCTTTGGGACTGGCAGATGAGGCTTTCCTAGTAGATACAAAACTGGCTCTTAAGCAAGGATGTGCTCTTTGCTTAAGAAAACAACAGCAACAGCAATGCAGCAGAAAACCTTGTTTATACTGGGAAAAATTCTTCAGATGCCATTGGGAAATGAACACTTCTTTTAGCAATCCAGTTTCATTCACCCAAAAGGGTTCCTCTCCATTAAGACACTGCGGGATTGAAGGGAGAAGCAATGTGAAAACAACTTGAAGCCATGCCGTATGTAAACGTAAATCATTATCATTAATAACAAGTACAGAAAATGACACATTTGATGAGTGAGAGTGTATCAAGGTAGACAAATCTTTCTCTCTTTCCTGCCTTTCTCTGCTGTGGCTGATCCTGGGGCAGAGCTAGGCTCATCTCAGCTCCCGCTTATCCTTGCTGATTTAATTCAATGAGCCGACCTGCAAACACAGCTAGGGTTCCAATGATACAGACAAGTATGAAGACTCCGAGGAGAATGTGGTCCATCACCATCGCAACGTACTTCCACTCCTCAGCCGCCTGGGAGAGAGGAGAGTGTGAGACAGAGTTCCCCAATGTGCCTATTGCACTCAGTGTTCACGCTACGTGTCATCTATGGGCCCCTCAACCTATAGATCTCAAAGCCTTCAACATCCCTTGGCTGGCATTATGATCTTTAGTTTTTGAATAGATTATTGACAATGTGATGACTTAAAAAGGTGGCCTAGAGGTGGTCACCAAGGTATATCTTAGGTCAGCAGCTGTGTCTTGAATACCAACCGACCCCCAAGCGAAACCCATCCATATGCGCCCGTGCATTTGATCATTTAAACCCAGAGGTGTGGATTTCAAGCCGCAAAGCTTACGTTATTGGACTCCTGGTCTGACTTCATGGTCTCTGCGATGTATTTGACGCCCTCGATGGCACTTTTCACCTCAGGGTGTTTGATCAAGGGAGAGTGGAAACCCATGGGCGGAGGCCCTGGCTTCCCAGAAATGTCGGAAATATCAAAGTCTTCTGTAAAAATCTTTTTGTCTTGTTTTTCTCTGGAGGGTCTTTTCATTGTGGAGAAAAACATGATATTTGGGATAGTGTCAATAAAAACCTAACATAAAAAAGAAATTCAAGTATAAGAATTATTGTCAACAGGGTTAGCATCAAACTCTGTCTTTGAATTAGCAATGCGATCTTGGGAAAGTCATTCAGCTTCTCTCGGCCTCAGCCTGCTTGTTCTTAAAACAAATACTAGATTTTCTCAAAGATTCCTTCCTATGTATTCTGCGGCATGTCAAACTACCATGGTCGTGACGATCCTGTAATGTGAGCAGTTCGCCACTGGAGGGAGTCTGTGCGCAGCCATCGACCTCCCGAGACACCAGTGGCGCTTCAGGACTCCTTACTGTCACTGGACGTGTCCTGGCAGGTGTTCCCACAATCGTATGGTTAAAGAAGGGGTCCCTCCACTTAGAATATATACGCTTCGCTTCGGGACCCACAAAACAGCGAGACTGTTTTCTTCTGTTCCAAAAGAAACAGCAGCATAGGTATTCCCAGGAATCATCTCAAAGTCTACAGAAACAGGGACTCAGTTTCCTCCAGAAAGACTACACTGAAAGCAGCAATATCTCTGCCAATTCCTGTTAAATATTTTGCATTCTGCAAAAGAGATCCTGGACTTATTTGAAATGTTAATACATTTTAAAATTCAATAGTGTGTTTGGGACCAAGTTCTTCACTAAAACTCAGTTTTTATCCCTCTGTCCTATAGCTCCCCATCTCTAGCCCTTATTCTATTCTCAACAGATGATTTTACCAGCAGAAACAAACAAATCTGTTCACAAATTAGAAGACATACAGACAGAAATCTCAAGAATTTCACAGCATTTGAATAAAAGGAAAGCGATTTATTCATCTCTAATCAAAGAGATTTTTTAAGCTTGACTTTGGAGTGGGTTTTGTTCATTGTTTTTCTTCCCTCTCTGGAAAGGCTACATGAATTGTTTACCCCTAAAAAGAGTAATTTTCTTCCAAAGAATCCCTTAAAGCCCAGAAAGGACTTTCTGTTCCTAAGTACCCTCAGGTGTTAGCTGGAACGCCACTGGCTGCATGAGGGGAGACCTGTAGGTGTCCTCCGTGTGTGCGGTCTGCAGGGGCCTCACCCACTCACCTTCCGCACCCACTCGGGCATGACGTGGGTGCTGGGTGAGCGGTGGTGCGTGTTGATGACGATGACGGTGATGATGATGGACGCGATGACAAGCACCATGGTGAACAACATATATTTCCCAATCAAGGGCACGGCGCTGGAGGTGGAAGGGATCAGCTCCACGATGACCAGAAGGAACACGGTCAAGGACAGTAAGACAGAGATGCTCAGAGTCATCTTTTCCCCTGGAAAGACAAGAAGAAACACAACAACCCACCTGTGATGGGCTGAACTGTGCCCCACCCCCCAATTCAGACATTGAAGTCCTAACTCTCAGGACCTCAAAATATGACTGTGTTCATAGACAGGGCCTTTAAAGAGGTGATTAAGTTAAAATGAGGTCATAGGGGAGGGGACTAATCCAACATGAGTGGTGTCCTTATAAAAGGAAGAGATTAAAACACAGACACAGAGGGAAGACCGTGTGAGGACACGGGGAGAAGCAAGCCATGGAGAGAGGCCTCAGAGAAAAACAACCCTGATGACACCTTGATCTCATACTCCCAGCCTCCAGGACTGTGAGAAAATCAATTTCTGTTCTTTAAGCCACCCAATCTGTGGTACTTTGTTCCGGCAGCCCTAGCAAATTAATTCACCACTGAGACTCAAGGCAGGAGGAATATGATGACTGGCATGTTCTCACAGCATTTTTCTGGGTTTTTTCTGCAGAATTTCCTATGTGACCTCAGCACCTTACCTCTACTGACAATGGCAAGTAGCAGGCATTTCCAGTAGGGGCTGCCAAGCAGGAAATAGCCACTTCCTCTCACGCTCCAGAATCCCCTTTCTTGGTGGAGCCCAGGGAACTGAGAGGAGATCTGGGCTGTCAAGCTGGGATGGCAGTGTCTCCTTGTGCAGCAAAATGCATTAAACCTCATAAAACTGAACCACAGCCTGGCCTACAGGTTACCCAGCTGATGGATAGACAGCCCAGAAGTACATGCATATTTCTGTCATTTGTGGAGCAAACTGCAAGACCCAAACCAAGAAAAGGACAAAGTCTGCAAGGCCAAGGAGGTCCTTGGCATCCCAGGTGATCTTCTGATAGCAATGACATTTGGGTCACTCACTTTCTCACTTTCATCTAAGAGGAAGTTCGTCTTCTCACTTATCTATTGTTTTGTTTTTCCTACTAAGGGAGCAGAGATTTTCTTCAGGCTCTATCATCTCAGGAGTCTTTGCTGGGCAAGCATGGCAGCAGGAGGTCAGGAGCTGAATGCACTGGGGTATTTTTGTGGGGATTGACCACCTACGATGCAGTAGAGAACCTTGAAAAGGACTTTCCTTTGGCTGGTCTTGCCATTGATATTCCTGGGAAAGCTTTGTGTTGCCCTGCTTTCTCGTATGGAACTTTTCCCATACTGGAAGCTTCCAGATGCTAGAATAGAAGTCTGTATAGGATACAGAGCAAATGCAAACAAGAAATTGTCAACTCTGCCTGGTGGGTAGGAAAGTCCTCAAAAGTGAAAAAAAAAAAAAGACAGGATTATAACTACAAAATATTTGTCAAGTTACATAAAATTTCTTGGTTATTAATAATGATAGTAATAGCTAACACTAATCAAGTATAGTCTAGTCGCTGTCCTAAATCTTTGATATTTATAGACACTCTGATTAGTCTCCATATTGCCCTGACAGCGTTTTTGCTATTCACTTTAAGAAGCTTCGTTTGATAGAAAGTTGAAAAAATATTTGTTTGTGATCATTTGTTTAAAAACACTAGTAGTACAATCACCGGAACACACATTCTGTGGGGTGAGGCACTCTCTGCCTTATTCTCTGCTGTACCCCTGCTGCATAACAGTTGCTCAATAAACAGTCATTGAATGAGTGAATGAATAATCTTTTTTGTTCCTAGTCGAAAAGTTGGGTTTAAATTTTGTGTGCGTGCTTTTTACATTTTTGATAAAACTGCTTCCTGTCATAAGTTTGAGGACTTTCTATACCGTCTTTTTTTCCTTCTTGTCTGCCATAAATTGTCTATGAGTAGTGACATGCTGGCAGGCATATCAGTACCTTTCCCCCTCTTCAGTAGTTTATTGGTGCATGATGAAATTATGTCATAGCTGCGATTACTCAGTAGGAAGAAAGTTAGTTGTCCAGGCTGACATGTGAGAAAAAATTGCCACTTGGGAAGTATGGTCTTGTGTGTGAAGACATGCCATGGGGAAAACAGATATGCAAAAGCTATTTTCAAGTGGCAAGCAGCGGGTGAAGGAGCAAGACCCGGATTGGTCAGTATATATGAAGTAACTTCATAGGGAAAGTGGCATGACACATTTCTGGGTACACAGGCGGTATTCAGCAATAGGTGTTGGTGGTTAACTCACTTTAGACTAAGCTATGGACTGAGCATGTTGAGGGTCATGTCCAGCTCTGCCTGCTCTGGAGGTCTGCCCCAGCTTGAGCTCCACCCACAGTGACTTTCACCACTGCACGTGGCTGCCCGGTCAGTGTGTCCTCCCGGTGATGATGACTGGGGTCTGTCTGCCTCTGTTTGTTAGCACATGATTATTTCTGGCTCTCCCTAAACTAGCAGCAGGAGACCGGACAGCGTCAGCTGCAGTCATGACAACTGCACCCACCTGAGTCTGTGGGCAGGTAGAACACCAGGCCAGTCAGGAAGGAGAAGAGCAGGCAGGGGATGATGACATTGACGATGAAGTAGAGGGGCAGGCGCTGCATGACGAAGTGGTAGGTGATGTCCAGGTAGGGGGTGCTGGGGCAGCAGGAGTAGAACACCCAGTGCTTCCAGCCCCGGGACTCCTTGATCACCCATTCCCCGCTCTCCATGAAGTTGCTCAGGTCAGGCTGGTCGCTTTCCTGAGAAATAAAATGAGGTTTGGAAGTGCAGACAAGTCACTCTGAGGAGGGGCAGGGTTTTCTAATCAGCTGTGACAAGGCAACAGACTCCAGCTCTGTGGGTCACATACCCAGGAGGGGTCCTGGGTCACTAATGTTTTGGGGTCTTAGGTTCCTTTCCTATAACATAAGGGGGTTTGCACTATTGGGATTCCCCATTTGGGCTACATATCCAAGTCACCTGGGAACTTTAAAACATATTGGTGCCCTAGCCCCACTCCAGACCTATTACATCAGAATTCTTAGGTCTGAGCCTGGGCATGGGGAATCACTGAAGCTCCCATCTTCTCCACCAAATGAGAACCATCAAACTAGATGATGCCCAGGATCTAACTGGAGTTGAGGGTTGGAAACCTGAATCACACTTTTCCTGAAAGCAACCTCATCCCACAAGGTCACCACCTACCGGGTTGATGGCCACCACAGAGCCGTCGTAGGTCCAGGTGCCCAGCTTCATGCTGCAGTTCTGTTCATCAAAGGGAAAGTGGGTGACAATGATCTCACAGTAGCTTTTAAAGATGGCCGGTGGTGTCCATGTGATGTGGCCAGTGTAGTCCAGGAGCACTTTGGTGAACTTGACAATGGCAAAGTCACCATCTGCACTACAATTAGAATAAAGACGAAAATGGCTCCAAGTGACAGATGAGCCTTCCACTCTGCTTGGGGATGTTAACAGGAGACAGCTGTTAATGAATCAGGTGCTAATTATAGATGCTTTCTTTCAGGCAGTGTTTTTATCTATTGCAATGTTTCCTAAACTTGGTAATAAGAATCACTGGGATGCTTTTTAAAAATACAGATTCCTGAGCATTGTCTAAGTAAGCCCTGAATCAGAATATCTGGGGAAGAAACTGGGAGTCTACGGGTTTAAAGAAATAATAGGAAACTTGGATCCACTGCATCCCTGATTTTTTTCCCAGTGCTCAGTAATATTTATGTTAATCTTCATCTATCCCTTCCCCAATATACTTTGAGAGTTAATTGGGAAACAAACCAGGATTTTAAGTAAAAGTACCTCCAGTGGCTTATTACTGTGATAGATAAAGGAGATCCATCACCTTTTAAAGAAATATTTAGAACTCAGTGGGGTGGGGTCACAAACTCTGAAGCCTCATGGCCAGACAGGTGAGGACCAGGAGCAGGTGGGACTCTGTCCTCTCAGGAAGGTGCTTTGACATAGTGCTGCCTGTGGCAGCCATATGGGAGTGAATATCCAACGTTGCCAGATATTTGGGGTCTTCCTTAGAGGATGGCAATCTAGTTTTCTTAATCAAATATTTCCAGATTTTTGAATGGTGGATTTTTCTAGAGAGAGGCTAAAAATCCAGATTTTAATGTGATATTTCCTGATTTTCAAATGTTGGCAATAATTTCTCATTTAGACAAAACACCCTGAGAGCTACTAAAAAATAATAAATCGCTTCCACAGGCCTTATTCAGGAAGAGTTTACTCTTCCCAAGAACAGCCTGCGTTCAGGGGACTTGTTGCCTCGGTGATATTTCAGGGATATAATGGCATATATTGATTGGTCTCTCATGTCATAAATCAGGAGATTTTCTTCCCATTAATTTTCCCTTGGGACTGAAGTGGGACTCTTTATCCAGAAAACTGTGAGGCATTTGGACCCTTCTAAAAGTACCCAAAGAAGCTGTGGGTCACAGGTTCGTCTGTCTCTCCCTGTAAGCAGGTAAAACAGAGTTCTGTCCCCATCAGGGTGTTCCTGAGCGAGCTTATCAATAGAACCAGAGGATGTATTAATTTGCATCCTTCAAATTCTTACTGAAAGAGAAAGGTTACACAAGACATTCTACCCTATTCGCATTTTAGTCCAAAAAGGTTACACAAAAGGATGGATAATTGGGTTCAAGCTTGAATCCTAAGTATCATTGGACAATATGTGGTGGAAAATCAAAGTTGGGAGGGGCTGCCCTACAGGGGTCGTTTCCATTCACAAGCCCCGGCCACCTTCCCTGAACGTCTGCAAGGACGAGCAGCTTGCTCACGGGAGACACGTGGTGTGTAACGTCAGACCGTAAATCCTCCAGGCCCATGTCACCTGCTCCTGCCTGGAAAGGATGCTCTTCGAAATGCACATTCCCTGACCAATGAAGGGAGTCTGATAATGAACGTGTCATTAAACCCGAGTGTCTTGAATCATACTGTAATTTCACAACACGCATTCTGTCGCGGGCCCAGTGGACGTGTGACGCAGGCACCCCGGACACCAGCGCTGCTCGGGGTCGGGATGGCGTTCAGGTTTGATTCCAAGGAGCTCAGTGATAGGAAGTTTGGGTGCTTTGGACGGTTGCCACACACGCTTTAGGAGCTCTCCGGGATTAACTGTCCCCCACCCACAGCCCTGATTCAATTTGGCTCCCATAATTGTTTCTATTCATAACACGAGACACCATATGGGCTCTAGCCGGGTTGTTACCCGGCGCTCCGGGCGGGGCAGCCTTTGCGCGCGTGCTGGGACCCGCCCGCCTCGGGAACGCCCCGGGAACGCCCCAGGAACGCCCCAGGAACGCCCCAGGAACGCCCCGGAACGCCCCCAGAACGCCCCCACGCCTGTCGCCTTCGCTTACTTGTTGTAGAGAACAATGTCCGGGCGCCAGATCTTCTCCGAGGGAACGTGAATCTTTTTCACACCGCCGTAGTCGTCTGGATTCCATTTTAGGTTGTAATCCACCCATTGCTAGCAACGAAGACATTTAGCCAGTTAAAAAACCAAAAACATTTTAAAAAATCTAGGGTTATCAAGAGCTCTGAGGGACGTGGTAATTCAGATATTGACAGAAATTGTGCTTCAGTGAGAAAAGTTTGATTCAGAATTTAGCTTTCACTTTAATAAACACCAACAACAAGCATGTAGTGCTGACTACGTGCAGGCACTATTCTAAGCACTTTACCTGTATTAACTCATTTCGTCCTCATAACAGCCCGATGAGGTAGGAGCAGTTACTGACACCACATTACAGTGAGAAAACAAAGATACCTCGGAGTCACACAGCTTGGGAGGTGGCAGATCTACCAGGCCACACTGTCCATCCCAGGAAAGGAAAATGACCCTTGTGCAGATATTTTCCTTAAGCAGGCAACTGTTATTTTTAAAAGTATTATGTATTTTCATACATTATAAAAGTAATATGTGCCCAATGCAGCAAATTTGGATAACACAATGTTATGGGTTAAATTGTGTCCTCCTCAAATTCATATTGAAGCCCTAACCCTCAGTACTTCAGAAGTGATCTTGTTTGGAGACAGGGTCTTTACAGAGGTAATTAAGTTAAAATGAGGTCATTAAGGTAGGTTCTAATCCAATACATTAGTGTCCTTGTAAAAGGGGGAAATTTAAAGACGCACACACACACACCCCCCACATATATATCACACCTACACAGGGAGAAAGCCATGTGAACATGAAAATGGTCATGCACAAGCCAAAGAGAAAGGCCTGGGACAGATCATTCCCTCACAGCCCTCAGAAGGAACCAACCCTGCCAACACCTTGACTTTGGACTTCTAGCTTCCAGAACTGTGCAATAAATTTCTGTTGTTTAAGCCACAACAGTTTGTGGTACTTTGTTACAGCAGCCCTCCCTAGCAAACGAGTATGCACAGAAAAAGCCCAAGAAAAAAACAAAAACAAAAACCAAACAGGTTCATATTCCCACCATCCCAAAATACCTACTTACAACATTTTGGTATAGTCATCTGGCTGAATTACCTGTTTCAGACGAACATTGGTTGTCACGATCTGATTTACTTCATCCTGAAAAAAGATAAGGCCCATCTTTAGGGGGTAGAGAAGGAAGCCAAGGGAGGGATGCCCTGGGTGAGGGTGTTGGTGCGGTGGGAGCCCGGGCGCTCTTGTCTCACCACATTGATGAGCTGTATCAGCTGTAGGCCCACGGTGACCTCCACAGCCTGGTGGTGGTCTTCCACTGGCCGGACCACACTGCTGTAGTCTTTAAATAGCTTTGCCACCAGACGGGTCTCATGTTCGGAGCCCTGGATGAGGCCAGCTGAGACAGCAGATGACACACACCCTGTTAGGTTCTGTTCCCCACTGTCCACACACACTAACATGAAAAGTTGAGGTGTGACCAGCTAATGGAAGGCACACGGGCCCCCTTGCTGAAGTGCTCTCAAATGCAGCTAGTATTGCCTTAAGTTCCTTTTCAAGCACAGTTGCTGGGTGGTCCCTTACCAGGCAACAGTGAGGCATGCCAGATGATCACAACACTTGTACTTTGGACAGGTGACATTCCTCAATACAGCAGCTGACTGAATCAAATTTGGCAGGAACATGCACACACAAGAAGAATAGTCCACAGAAAAGCCAGTCTCAGTATTTCAGAGTCTGGTCATGGTATAATAAAGTCTTGGACTGGCTGACCTCAGATCTCATGAAACCATGAACAGTTAAAAACTGATGCTGGTTCACACCCATTAGAATGGTCTATAAGTGTGGATGAAGTTGTAAAGAAACCGGAGTCTCATATGTTGCTAGTGGGAATATAAAATGGCAGTGCCTCAACAAGTTCAATACGGAGTTACCATGTGACTCAGCAACTCTACTCTGAAGTACATGCCCAAAAGAATAGCAGCAGCACTATTTACAGTAGCCAAAGGGTGGAAACATCTGAAGTGTCTCTCAACAGATAAATGAATGAACAAATTGTGGTATATGCAAACAATGGAATATTATTCAGCCATAAAAAAGGAATGAAGTACCCATACATGCCAAAACATGGATGAACCTGAAAACATACTAAATGAGAGAAGCCAGGCATAAAGGGGCATATGTTGTATGATTCCATTTATACAAGATATCCAGAATAGGTAAATCCTTAGCGATAAAAAGCATATTAATGGTTGCTAGAGACTGGGGGAACAGGAGAATGGGAAGTGACTGCTTAATGGGTACAGTGTTTCCTTTTGGGATGATGAAAAAGTTTTGGAACTTGTAATGGTGATCATTGTGTAACATTGGGAATGGACTTCATGCCACTAATTGTATGTGAAAACCCTGTGCTTTGTTGATGTTGGTTTGGGGCTCCTATTTGGAACATAAGTGATTCCAAGGAATCTTTACTACATTTTCCTTCAGGATAGACAGCATTATCATCTCATATTCTCAGAGCCTGCAGCCCTTTTCTGTCTAGTATGTTATGTAATCCTCACTAGCCTCAGGTGAGGCAGACATTCTCACCTGAGATTCAGAGGTTGGATGACTTGTCCAAGGTCACATGGCTGGTAAGGGCAAAGCTCAGGTAAGAACACTGTCATTCTGTATTGTGTTCTTGCAGTAACTCTGAATATTATGAGTGTGTTGTGGGCTGTCCCGGAGACCTCACAATGGCATGTACCATTATTCCTATGAGAAAATGTGTTCTAAATTTCAACAAGTGCCTTCGGCAGGATCTTTGTAACTCAAGCCTTATGTGGATTGGGGACTGCCTGTTCAGGGTTGGAAGAGGAAGCAGACACACAATCCATTTGCTCTGATTCATGTAACCAGATCTCCCCTTTCCGCAGGTTATTGCTGAGGCCACCATAACTTCTCCCTGTGCCAAGAAAACTTTAAAAATGGAATGCTTGAGATGCTTTCTCTTTTTACCCAGTAGTGCTAACTTATCGCCTCTAAGACAGGTCATCATTTTCTTTATTATTTCTATCCTTGGATCTGAAGTTCGGAAGAGTTTATCAACAAAATAATTAAGTAAAAAATAATTACTTTTTCTATTTTTATTAATCAATAAAAATAATAGCTAACACATCCAACTTGTTATATGCCAGACTCTTCTATGTGCTTTATATATACTAACTCTTTCAATTCGCACAGCTGGGTGAGATAGGTACTATTGTCCCCATTTTACAGATGAAGAAATTGAGGCACAAAGAGGTTAAGTGACTTGCCCAGATTTCATAAGTGGTGAAGCCAGGATTCAAACTCAGAACCCACATTCTCAACACAAAACTTTGGATCTGCTTGACCCAACCAATGTTATGCAGTGAATTGATACATTTTCATCCCTCCAAAAGTATGTGTTTGATTATCCCATAGAACTTTGTTAAAGCCTCTATATTTGTATTATCTTATTGAATCCTTATAATGATCCTATGAGGTAGGTTTTTACCCCTACTTACAGATGAGAAAACTGAGGTTCAGAGAGTTGAGTAATGTATTCATGGTTCTCCAGCTAGTTAGGGGTGGAATTATAAACGGAGGCAGTTTACCTCCTCCCGAAAGGTAAATGTATCATTTCCATTTGAATTTTTGAAACTTTCAGTGTAGCTTAAATATCTTCATTGTTATCTTCATAGACTCTGTGTAGGGAAGCCCTGACCTAGACTCCCTCTTCATTTCTAGTTTCCCATGTTTTCTGAACCCAAAAGGTGCCAAGGGCACCTAAGGTGCCCAGCCACACAGAGCTTTCACATGACATCTCCCCCAAACCACCTGCGTTCAAGGACCCTTCAAGGGAGTGCGTCGTTCAAAGACTCAGTTTTTGCAGTCACCCCATTGAGCTGCTGGAACTTGGCACTCCTGCTGTTTTCCACACTTTGTCTGTCCCAGGCCTCATCCACCCCATGGTGGGGGCTAGAGACTGGAATGGATCACTGACAACCTTGGCCACAGAGTTTGAAGCCATTGCTTTGCCATTGCCCTGGGCTGCTTAGTCTTAAGTGACTGTTTATTCCAGTCTGACAGGAAGAACATACTAGAAAGCAATGGATAGAGCAGATGGTCAGCATGCAGGCCAGCCCTGTGATCAACTAAGGAGAAGGGAGGACTGGGCAACCAGCGTGGCCAGCATTCCAGGACATTCACCTCCTCCTCACCTACCTTGTCCAATAATGAGGTGATTTGTTCCTTCCATAAGGAATTTCCAAAAAGGTCTCCATTTCTTAGATTGATTTTATTGTATTCTTTTCTTTTTGCCTTCCCAAAGCAGGGTAGAGTGATAGAAAACTTACAGGACCCAAAGCCAGATTCTATGATTCCCTTCCCAACTCCAATATCATCTGGAGAGTTGGATTAGTTCTTCATGGATTCAATGAATTGCAGTAAATACAAGGGTACTTCAAAATGTTCATGGAGAGAGTAGTATGATCTTTTAATTCCATTTTTCCACAAATTTTGAAGTACACTCATACATTTGTAAAAAGGCAGAGTATAAACAAACAAATATGCCAATAAACAAATAATGTCAAAGTCTCTCTTTTTAGCAAAATTATATTGGTAATATAATCTTTACTCAGATGGTGGAAACATAAATTTATTTATCAAATATTTGTTGAGCATTTACTATGTGTAAGCATTGCTCTAGGAGCTTTGAGACATTCAAAGGTGAATCCGACATGAATCCTGTCTTCCTAGCTTCATAGAGATTGACATTTGTCATTTACACAAATAACAAAGAAGTTGTAAAGTAATATGTCTTACGAAAGGTGACAGTGAAGTGCTTGGGATTCCAGAGGTGGAAGAGAGGAGAAGGTTGAAATGAAAGGTGCTGTATAAATAGAACAGAGACCATTATATATTATACTAACACAGGAAAAAGTGTCCCTGATTTGAATGAGAATTTTGCCCACGAAGGACAGCGTCTATGTAGGGGAACTCAGCCACAATTTCAAAATGTTCTTCTTGTACCATACTGGCTCAGTCTGTATTTTTATGTAAGGAACTAGTCATTTTAGGTAATTCTTATCTCAACATGATGCTGTGTCTCTTGCTAGCTTTGGCTATTTCAGGCTGTGTTTTCTGGCTGTGCACATAACAAACTGAGTCTCCAACTGATCACATTCCAAAATTTATAAATTAAGTGGCCTTTGGCAGGTCAGTTCATGTCTTTCAGCTTCAGTTTCCTAATAATAAAAAATCAGGGATGTTGGATTGCCTGATCTAGCTCTAAATTTCTATGAACTACCCGTGGGAATCAATACCAGCAAACTCTAGGTTTGATCTAAATACATATTACGTATTTCTTTTAACAGCTAAACATGCATTTTTGGAAGTCTTTGGTGTGCTAAGAGATCTCTTAAGGATTTTTATATAAAAGCATATCATTTAAGAATTTTTACTGAATGTGGTGTTTGCAAACACACACACACACACACACACCACACACACACACACACACACACACACCAGGCAAGCTTTGGTTGGATCAAGTTCAAATTCTAAAGGATGTAATTTATCTGAGTTTAGGCTATTTCCCTCAACTCTGCTATTGAAAAAATTAATAATAAAGCTCTTTACCTCTTGCTCATAAGGCATGTGTTTGTCAGAGCAATATTAGAGAAATCACAGGATGTCAGCAACCTTGTTTCTCAGTTGGGATATCACCAGTAAACTTTTATATGAAGCAATCAGCAAACAATTCCTATTTCCCTCTACCGGAAGTTTGGGATTCAGGATAGCGTTTCAGCTGCTGTGTTGTGACACATTCCAGAGCAGAATGCAGGTCAAGGGCTGTTCAAGTCTTAATAGTTTTAATTCAAACCCAAAGCTACGTACAGTAACATCCTTTAAAAAAAGGAGGCAGGAATGCATTGATGTGGACTTTTCTGTTTTAGTCTCAGAAGTTCAAAAAGATAAAACATTTCATGTCTATGGAGAGAGTTTAGTTACAATTATTAACAGGTTTCTCTCTTCAGCACATGTAGCTGTCAATCAATCCCCTTCATTATTAGAATTCTCTTAGAGCGGTAAAAAGACTTGTTAACTATATTGTTTGTGATTATAAGTCACCACTCCAAGTCCCTATAGTTGTTCAGGTAAGAAAGCAACTCCGGGACGCTACCACAGTCTCTAAGGGCCCAGGTTCTACAAGTGGTGCTGATCTGTTCACGCAGGTGAGTCGGATGCCAGGCACTGGTAGTGGGAGAGACCCGAATGTCTACCTTGCAGTCTTTGACCAGGCAGTTCCTATTTTAATTGAGTAACACAAACTAAAATCTATCCAAAACCCAATCAAGCCAACATCAGGGAGAAACTGACACAGCAGCCTCTGGCTGGTGAGGCCCTGCCATTCTGAGTTCCCATCAAAGAAGCAAGACTGGGTTTGGGGACCTCTAGGGCTTCAGCCTCCAAGGAGAGCTCCCCACCGACCTTAACACTTACCCGAACACAGGCCAAGGAGCAGGAGGAGAGGCCGGGGCTCCATGGGCGGTGGGCGCTGGTGTACTGGTGGCAGAGTGGTGGCCTGTGCTGCTCACTGGCACTCTCTGGCCAGACACTTGGCTGCCAGAGAGTTTGGAAAGTGAGTCAGCTCAGTGGAGCTATAGTTTTACACCACCTGTTTGCAGCAGCGACAGCTGAGCTGCCCTCAGCCCCAGAGCCCAGGGAGTCACTGAGGGCCTTTCATGACTCCAGGTGCGCCTCACTTTACACAATCGTCACAGTCGATGATGTGTTGGGTGTAAACGGCATTATGTTTTAAATGCACCATGATTCAGGTCTTAAAGAAAAAACTTAACAGTAAGGATGGAGTTATTTTGAACAGTGAACCAGAACCTCATCTCTGTGGGTTGATTTGATTAGGGTCATTTGGTCTGAGCAGACAGTTCAGCTCTTTGTCCAAAATCACAAAAGTTCACATTCTACAAACATGAAAATTCATTTCCTGTGGCTCAGGGTGAGGCTGACAGTGCCTGGGGATTTTGTGACTGCATGAATTTGAAAGGAGTGTGGTTGGTGTGGCTGCTGGAGAGCCCCACATTTGGTTGAATTTGATTTTTAACAAAGACAGCTTCTTGCATAAAACTTGCTTTATTGGCCCCTGGAGCGCCTGTTCTAACCCCTGTCTCTGTATCAGGCTATACCCATCCCACAGGGTCCATTAGCTGGAGCAAATGGCCCACCTCCCATGTACTGTTATTCGAGGGAAGAGTAATTATGGGGGGAAAAGTGTCCCACCCCATCAGCAGTTGTTCCAGGCTCCTGCTTCCTGCCCTCCATTCCTCTGCCTACTCTCACTCAGGGAAGCAAAGAACACAATGGTTCAGCTTTTCAATTCCTTTGTTTTGTAAAAATCCTAAAAGCCAGCAGTTAGTCATTGCTCCATCTGGGAAGTACTTTTACCCAAACCCATCCTTTACTGGCTTCTTCTGTATCATTTCCCCTCTCTGTCACCTCTCACATAAACTCCTTACAGGGTCAGCTTCTGGGGACCTCAAATCAAAACAGGATTTCTCCAACTGCCTGAGCAGCGTGGTCTTCACAATGATATTATTGGGTGCTTTTCCCCCACATTTTTACCATCTTATCAAATATCTTCTACAGGTGAACAGTTGAAACTGTAGACTAAAAAAACCCAAAGATTATTAAAACTGCAATTATCCTCAGTAGTAAACCTATTTTTTTACTTAAAAAGTTTATCATTCAAGTAATTCAAATTTATTATAGAAACATTAGAAAACAGATGAAGAAAAAGAAAAATGTTTACCCATTATCCTTCTACCTAGAAATACCCATGGTTAATGGTTTAGTTTATATCTGTTCAAACCCTTTTCATACATTCATTCATTCAAAAAGTTTTTCATGAGTTTTAGTTTTGCTATGTGCCAAGCATCATTTTAGGGATACATCAATAAACAAAACAGACAAAGATTCTTGTTCCTCAGGAAAAATGCATTCTAATTAGAAGAGATGGATGAAAACAAAATATATATAATTAAGAAGTAAATTGTTTAATATCTTCCCAGGTGAAAAGTGCTATGGGATAAAGGAAAAGTAGAGCAGGGTAGAGGGGATTAGGACAGCTAGGAAGGGGGTTGCAATTTTAAAGACAGTTGGTAGGGTGGGCTTCATTGAGGATGTGACATTTGAGTAAAAACTTGAAGGAGGTGCAGATATTTGTGGGGTGAGCATTCCAGGCAGAGTGAGGTGCAATAAAAAGTCCCTAAGGAGAATGGGCCTGATGTGTTCATGGAGCACAGCAAGGAGGCCAGCAGGCTGGAGCAGAGTGAGCGATGGAGAGACGGCTGGGAGGTGAGGTGAGAGAGGACCCCAGGGAAGAGGGGGCACAACACATCTGACAGACTTGTACTTTCTGTGAGTTGAGGAACGTCTGTGGCATTTTGAGCAGAGAAGTGACATCATATGACATGTAGTGTCAAAGGATGACTTTGGTTGCTGTGGTGACAAGAGGCTATAGGGGAACAAGTCAGGAGCTACTACAGTAATCCAGGTGGTAGATAATGGTGGATTGGACCAGAGTGGTTTCAGTGAGGCTGGTGAGAAGTCATCGGATTTGGGAAATATATTTTGACACAAGGGCTAACAGGATTTCCTGAAGGATTAGATCTGGGATGCAAGAAAAAGAGAGGCATTAAAAATGATTTGTGGGGTTTGGGCCTGAACATTAGGAAGGATTTAGCTGCCAAGAAGTGGATTAAGGAACACTGTGGATGAACAGGTTTGAAGGGGGAAATCAGGAGTTCTGATAGGAACACGATGAGTTTGAAATGTCTATTAGAAATGCAAGTAGGCAGAGGGACTTGAGTCAAGAGTTTCAGAAATCTAGAGTAGATGGTGTTTAAAGCCAAGACAGGATAAGGTCAAAGGAATGGGTACAGGCAGAGAAGAAAAGAGAACTAACTTTAAAAAGTTGGGAAGAAAAGAAAGAGGCAGCAGAGGAGACTGAGAAGGAGGAAGCAATGGGGCAGGAGGAGACCCAGGGGAGGGTGGATTTCTGGAAGCCTGGAGAAGGACCAGAGCAAGGAGGAGGGAGACAGCCGCCATGCTAAATGCTCCTGAGGGAGCCCATGAGGTGACAGCAGAAATGACTACAGGGCCTAGCAATGTGGAGGATGCTGGTGACCTTGACCTGTCCCAAGTCGCCTGGGGTAGGCATAAGAGGGACAAAATTAGAGGGGCTTTACTGCAAAGTGTAACAAAGAAATGAGGTGGCAGTTGGTGAAAGAAGTAGAGTCAAAAAAAATTTCCTGTTTTGCGCCTTTTTGTTTTTGGATGGGAAAAATAACAGCGTATTTGCATGATGATCATAATGATCTAACAATAACAATAAAAAATTGGTGTTGTAGTAGGGAGCAGGAAAAAAGACCCATAAAAGTGTTTTCAAAAAAGGGACTTACTACATAAACTTTTCTATAACTTGAAAAATAAATAATAAAAATGTTCCAAGTCAAATAATGTAGCTCTAGAACACCCGGGTGGTTTCCTTTTTTACTTTTTTGCTTTTATAAATAATCTTGCAGTGGGCATCCTTACACATATAAATCATCCCAATTTTCTTTTTTTTTTTTTCCCTTTTTTGTCTTTTTTCGTGACTGGTAATGGGATCGCAACCCTCGGTGTCGCGCCCGCACCGCGCTCAACCAGTGAGCGGACCGGTCTCTATATGGGATCCGAAACCTCGGCGGGAGCACCGCCACGCTCCCAAGCGCCGCACTCTACCGAGTGCGCCACCGGGCCGGCCCAGCCCAATTTTCTGATTGTTGCCTTAGGATAAACTCCTAAAAGTGAAAGCACTGGTTCAAAAATGAGAACACTTTGAATAATTTTAATGCATATCAAATAGCTCAAATCTCCATTTTAGAATCAAAGTCATTTAGTCCTGCTCTTAACACAGTTATATTTGTCTATCTATTAACTTATCACAGTTGAGTACTGTTACATTTATTTGCAAGATTACATGATAAAAGTCTGTCTCTCCTGCTAGACTGCAAACCAGTGAGTGCAGAGACGGGCCTGGTTTTGCTCACTGTTGTGTCCTCAGCTTTTGGCTGACAAGCCTGCTCTACAGTAGGCATTCAGTAAATAACTATTCATGAGGGAGTGAATGGATGTGAAGCTTAATTCAAATAAGAGGGTAGAGGTTATACTGCATGATGTTATTTGGGGATAAAATGGGGTGTGACTATCAACATCCTCAATACCATGCAGGGTACTTGGTGTATAGCTCCAAAATTGTTTGTAATTGACTAATTAAATAATGCATGAATAAGGTATATCCCTTTTATAAAAGTCCACCTTCCTGTGTGGCTTAATGAATGTGATAATTGTGGATCCTCCCAAGGTCATTTTGGAGAAAACACTCAGTCCACGTTTACATTTGGGTGCAGCTCCTTTGATCCTGGTTATACGTTAGCTAAACCCTCCTGTTTCTGGCGTTGAGCACCTCAGTCCAGTGGCCAGCAGGTGGCAACAGACAGTTATTCAAGTGGCGGTGGAGTGCTGGAGGCCCTCTCTGGATGGTGTGGTGCTTGGGGCTGGGATACCGCCTGCTGTCCTGGGGTCTGTCTCCTGGAAATGCCCAGACAGCCAGCCCAGCCGGCCCTGTCCTGGGAGGGAGGCAGCTCAGGACCACTCCCAGGGACCCCGGAGCAGCGGCCTCTGCTCAGAAGAGTCAAGAAAGACGGGTCAGGTCCCAGCCCCTGAGAGAGTCCAACTTTGCTTTTCCGTTTTGCAGAGTGTACACTTCCAGGGTTCTCTGTCCTGGACAGCTCAAGAGCCAAGCAAAATCCATTTGGAAATCCAGGCTTCAGGTTGTGAGGTTTTATCTGGTTCACACCAGCTAATCTGCCTCTGTGGGTGTCTCAGTCTATCTGGAATGGTCAGTTTCTTTCTATTCTATTTTTTCAGCCGAGCTCAGTGCCATGCAGTTCAGACCGAGAGTTTTGTATTAATTACTGGATTTGCGATCACTGGATTATTCCAATGATTATTATTACATACAGAGCAGGTTACTGCCCACTCACCCTGGGTCCACCCAATCTTGGTGCCGTTTTTTCCAATGTCAGGGATGGATTTGCCCCCGTCCAGCTTTGCTCTTCCTTGAGAGGGAGAGAGTCACCCCTGGTCGAGCTCCTGGTGTCTACCATTTCATTCTTACAGCAGCTCAGCGGGCAGATGTTCCGTGTGACATGTCCACACTTGCTTGGGTCCTAAGCAGCAGAGCTTACCAGGGTGGGAATCCGATATTTCTACTTTCAAATATGGTGCTTCATCCACTACACTCTTGGTTCAAATTGTGCTCCAAGAAGCCCCTTCCGAGGTGGCCACAAGACAAGGGAAGAAGGAGACATGGTGGAAGGAGTGGGGTGGCCTAACAGGTGGTGCTTCCTGCTTCCCACCCTTGTCTCATCTAGAACAACTGTGCTTTGATTAAAATATATATGTACATTAGTGAATGAATAAATTACATATATAGTCT